TAATAAAATATAACAAGAAAACAAAGTACCAGCCGGGCTCGGTGGCTCAGCCTGTAATCCCGCGCCTTTGGGAGGCTGAGGTGAGTGGATTGCCTGAGCCCGCGGGTTCGAGACCCGCCTGGGCAACTTGGCAAGACCTCATCTCTACTATAAATCAAAAAATCAGCCGGGCATGGTAGCGGGAGCCTGTAATTCCGGCTTCTCAGAAGGCTGAGGTGGAAGGATCGCCAGAGCCCAGCAGGCTAGGCTCCTGTGGCCAGGACGCCCCACCCCCCACCTCCACGCCTTGAGAGCATCCCCTGGACCAGGCCGGCTTTGAAACTTGCAGGGACGAGTTTGACTGTGTACGCTGGGTCTGGATGCTGAGAGTTTCAGGCTGAGGCTTTGGCACGTGTCTGTTCCAAGTGGCAAAAGTGCGAGTGTCCCTGCTCTGCTCCGGGCCGGTCGGTCAGACCTGCCACTCGTGTGCCCCAAGAGTCATTTTGTCCAGCCGCCGCGCTTGTGTGCGTCCTGTCATTGGCTTCCTGCCTCTCTGTGCTGTTGGGACACTGGGGACAGTGCTGCAGGACCTAACTTTTTGTCTCAAATTAAACAGAAGGTCTTGGGCAGCAGGGCAGGAGGGGGTGAGCAGGGGTGACTGGTTATGAAAGGAGCTCGTTAGAGAACTGCAACGCGGATACCTTAAATAGAAATGAGCCTTTCTGTTCCAGGAGCTGGAAGTTCCGGTTAAAATCAAGCCCCAGCCCCAGAGTAAAGGTCGTCAGGGTATACTATTGCTGTGTTTGTTCAACAGGCTGCTGTTTGAATGTCCTACCGTTGCTTTTAAGTTGAAAATCAACGTGTAGACATTTCGTGGAGGAGGCTGGGTCCAGGACGAGTGATTTAAGAGTCCCTGAGCTGAAATGGACAACGGCATGTCCAGTACCTGGGAGATGCTAGGGAGGAAGGGAATGAAGTCACCTAAGTTCATGGGAAAGGAAGGAGCTGCTGACCACACACACACACACACACACACACACACACACACACACACACACACACACACTATAGCTGTGGTTATGTGGATTGTCACCACTTCCCACACCACTGAAGTCCAGACTATTCTTGCTATTAACTCTATTCATTGTTAGTATCACTGTAGTTAGTAAGTATTGATGGTTCCAAACAAGGTCCATGAGGAAGGTCATTCTTCAGAGTAAGTCCCACCCACATCCCCTAAAAAGGGGAAGGGAGGTAGAACCAGAACATACCAAGCTGTCGCTGCAGTGTCAAACGTGGCTTCCGTGAGGCAGAGGGAGTATGACTTAGGGTCAGCTTCATACCCAGGGGTGTGGGCGGGGGAGCCAGACCCGGAGAGACTCCACAGCGATAAGGGCTTCCTTCTCGCATGGCAGGCATGGCTTGAACCCCAGGATGTATGATCTCCACCTGTTGCTTTGAGTCTGGAAAGTCCCTGAATGAAATGCTTGATAAGAGCAAGATTGGCAGATCATCTACAGGACTCTCCATTAAATTTGAATTTCAGATAACAATGAATAAATTTTCAACATGTCCTAAATATTGCATAGGGATATATTTATACTACAAAACCTTTCCTTACTCATCTGAAATTCAAGTTTATCTGGACGTTCTGTATTTTTATCTGTTAAATCTAAACAAACACACACACGTGTTTTTTGTAAGTCTCATTCCACAAAAAAGTAGGACAATAATTATTTGAGTTTTAAGGAACCCTAACATTAATATTGAGACCTTGAGCAGTTTCTTTTCTTTTAATGTAATTATTGATACAGTTGGGTTTGTTATTTTGTATTTTAGAGTTAGGGGGTACAAGTAAGGATTTACTACAAAAGCAGGCTGTGTGCAGGTGATGTTTGGACTTCTAGCAGGCCCTCCCTCCCCTTGGTAGTGGCCAGGTACCCAGTGCATTGCTACATGTTCCCTTCCCTCCTCCCTCTCTTCCTCCCCTAACAATGTCCAGTGTCAGCCGACCCCACCTTTGTGCATCTGTGAACAATGTCTTATATACTCATATATTCAGTGCAATAATAGGAAGATGGCACAGCCAAGTATTTTAGATTGCATGTTTTCAGTCTGATGGCCCGAAATTTCAAGCTCCTTGACCTTGGGCAAGTTACAGATGTCCACATTGCAGATAAAGAAACTGAGGCTGAGAGAAGTATTGACATATATTTCATACCTCATACTGTGATTGTAGTGAAATTAGAGTGTTTAGCATAGTGTCTGACATAGTATAAATGCTTTATACATGCTGAGTTATTATTATTATTATTATCATAAAAATATGTGGATGATTGGATTAAAAGAAACCCTTTTTTGGAGGTATTTCTAAAAACTTTGTTTTTATGGTATTTTACATAATATTAGTATATCTTTATTTGTATATATCCTTCCAACCAGAAAAAATGTCGTATAGTGTGTTAAATTTGTAATAGTTAGAGTCTAATAGGTTCAGAATGTCAGTTTGAGGTCTTTGGTTTCAGTAAACAGAATATATTAGTCATTCCAGGAAGGTCAAAGTATATAGTGTAGAAAGGGTGGGATTGCAGTAATTATGTTCCCACCACATAGTTCCACATAATGCCTCCAAGTGAGGCTGCAGTCCCAGGGCAGGGTGGGCCGCCACCCACCACCGGGTTCCCATGCTCTTTACAGGCAGTGAACGGACCTTCCACCAAATACATTCCAGAGGTTTAATAACATGGTGCAAACGCCCTGCTGGATTGGTTCAGGAGATTGTATTTATGTCTACAGAGTGAGAAAGAGAACACGGGCACATTATTCGTGGGAGAGGTTCAGCGTGTGCAGGGGAGGGTAATCTAAAAATACATTTTCTTTCTTTGAATTGGATTTATATGAATGACTATTCCACAGTTCTTCAGAGGGAAGGAAGAAAAATACCAAGGCCAGCATGAGCTGTGGGAGGTGCTTGGCTGAAAACCTTCAAAGGGTTCTCCCAAGCACCTCGATGGGGGCTTGTGTACGCGCCATTCCTGGCAGGGAAAAAAAGACGCGAAATATACACAGAATATAAGGATAGAGATCACTGTCTGGCCAGGAAGGAAGGTCCCACCTTTTCCTGTAAAATAAGCCCAACTTCCCCTGGGATGCAAAGGATTGGAAAAGAAGAATGTCTGGTGGGTAACTCTGTGCTAGTTGTGGAAGGGTTTCCCCATCTTTCCTTTTTTTTGAGTTGGGGTCTCATTCTGCCACCCAGACAGGAGTGCAGTGTCACCATCTTGGCTCACCGCAGCCTCTACCTCCTGAGCTCAAGCCTCAGCCTCCTGAGTAGCTGGGACTACAGGTGCATGCCACTACGCCTGGCTAATTTTTATTTATTTATTTTATTTTTAGTAGCGATGAGATCTCAATATGTTGCCTAGGCAGGTCTCCAATGCTGGGGCACAAGCCATCTTCCATCTCGGCCTCCCAAAGTGTTGGGATTACAGGTGTGAGCCATCACCTGGCCCCACCTTTCCTTCTTTACAGGCAATTTACTGAGTCCGTTATTGCTGAGCTTACGGTGACAGCAGTGATTCTCAGTAGGTGAGGGTGGGAAAAGGGAGGACTAGGCGGTTTCAAAAAGAATATTCAGTATCCTCGTATTTCACACTTGAGAGAAGAAAGTCTGCTTATTCCACCATATGCACTAGCAAGGGAAACAAGGAACAGTCTCCTTGTCCAATATAGACATGATAAATATGTAAAAGAATGGGAGCCGGGCAGGATTGGAGATGGGAGAACCCCCAAAGATCTGGGATCGGAGCATCCTTGGGAAGAGTGAGATTCTTGTTCATCAGAAAGAGGCAGGAGCCTAACAAGATCAAGAACCCTGGGTCGCAGGTTACACTGTGGGGCTGGAGAGAAACCACACAGAGATCCTGAGAAGCAGGAGACCAGACTGCTGGCAGCAGAGAGGGGGCAGGGGTGGAGGTGGTGAGGTACTGTCCCTGGCTCTGATGGATACAGGAGAAAAGAAGGGAAATCATTGACAGTGTTGAGTCAACTCCCTGCAGAGGGGAAAACAGGAATTTACCTCCTAGTCTCATGAGTGGGTTTTGCCATTGTCATTATCATTTGCTAACTTCCCTCCAAAACAATCAGCACCCATGAGCCACATGTGAGCCCCACACCAGACAAACTGACTTGCTAAAAAGAAGCACTATGAGTCAGACTAATTCCTCTGAGGGACTTTCCCTCACAACTCTTGTCATTGTGTTTACATGGTCCCATGTCCCCAACTCTTGTGAGGCTCCCGCCATGAAAGAATTGCAGCATACTTATTAAAAGACACTTTAGCTCTCTCTCACTGTCTGCTTTCCTCTTTCTTTTCTTGGTCACTTGCTTTGGAAAAGGTCCCATAGGGTCCCATTAAGACCTCCCATCACCAATCTGGACCGTCATTCTGTGCTACAGATCCAACAGTCCAGTCAGGTCATCGGAACCCCTGACATTCAGTCATCATTGCATCCACTTACCCATCCAGCAAGCAGGCTTAGAGCCTAACCAGGCACAGAGCAAGAAAACGGCCACCTGGAGGGACAGAAAGAAGGTAGCGCCTCAACCTTATCCTCAAGGATAAGTAGTTAAAAAGAGAAAAAAAATATACAGAGCCACTGCTGAAAGCAGAGTAAGTGACTGTCCTGCAAGCCTGGCTACAAGCTAAGTACCATGGAGGGAGAGTGGAAAAAGTCATACTTCTGAACCAGACCAGCAGGGCCCAATGACGAACTCACCAACCATCAAAGGCGGCTTTCAAATACGTGTTTTAGAAGGGCTAGAACACAGCAGTGCTGGTGGTGGTGATGACAGTACGGCTTGCAGCTGACAATTGCTGAATGCCCTCCGTGAGCAGATGCAGGTCTAAACACTTCTTCCCATAAGTTACTTCCTTTCGTTCATGACAAATTGATGGGACTGGTATAGCTATGATGTCATTTTATAAACATGGAAACTGAG